CCCTGACACGCCCCCTTTTATGCTTACTTCTAAGAAATGTACGATTCCACGGTCACTTTAGTCCTCAAACACAAGATCACTTTAGAAATTAGAATACTGGGCCAATCAGAACTCCCAGCTTGACCTGGGTTTTAACCTCCCCTGGCGCAGGCTGGCAGCGGGGATGATGGGCTGGTGGGCTCTTTTTCTGTGTCTGCAAAGGTGGGACCCCCGGGGTGGGGGTGGGGTGGGTAGCAATGTCCAGGGGAAGGGAGGGATCTCATCTGGTCTGTCACCATCCTGAGACCTCGAGCTCCGTGGGTGATGTCCAGGCTCTTGGCAGCGGCCACTGCCTCAAACCCCTCTTGCCCTTGATGGATACTTTTCTTAGGGTTCTTGCAACTCTTTCCTCCACCCCTAGGAATCTGACAACCAACCTGAGGTTCTTGCTGCCGCCACCTCTCTGGCCCTGGTCCATACTGACCCCTCACAGAGCTCTGCCCAGGCAACACCAGGGGATACTTGAGCACATCAGACAATGATGTGCTCCCTCGCAAGGAGTTCCAAACAGTGACCCTTCTCCCCATTCTACCAAGGACCACCAGGAGACTGGTCCCCTCCATAGGAGAGCAGGAATGGGCTTGGGACGTACTCCTGAAAAATGGACTGTCACCATAGAACTTTCTAGCAACATTGTACAAGTCATGTCCCCCTCTCTGACCCGTTTTCTGGCAATACCTACCCAATGGGTTGTTGTGAGTGCTGAGGGATTTCGAGAATCTCTAGCATGTGCCAGGTCTGACTCTTTAGGCTCCCACAATCTCAGACCTGCAGCTTCATCTCTGTGTGACTTACTAGTGATTTTGCTTCTCTGGGTCTACTTCTCACCTGCCCAGGGTGCTGAGGAGAGCCCATGACCCCAGTGCCCCCGCCCCACAGTGAGTGAATACTCGGAAGTGCATGCAGAGGCCCAGACATGAAGTTGGTCCTGGCAGTGAGTTAGCCACACAATAGAGGGTGGGCTGGGAAGGCCCTGGGGCTGGTACTGGTGGGGCAGGGGGTGTGGAGTCTCCACCCACCGTGCCCCTTCTGTTCCAGGAGAATGTTTTGGAAATGCTTTAGTCTGGCTGGGGACCCAGGGCCCCTGGGAAGGGAGAGGACAGCCTGTACCACCAGGAGTCATGCTGACTCAGGTTAGAAAATCAATGTGTGACCAGAAAAACACAGCTGGGCTCTCACCACTTCTGGGAAGTTGCACAGCCAGCCCCAGGCATGTCTTTATCCCGAGTTCAGCTCGGCTGGAGATATTCTGCTCCTGATTCCAAGTCTTGTGAGAAAATGCTGGCACCCAGAGGAACAGAAGGCGCAGCTCCTTGAGGCCCAGGGATCACGAGCTTCACACGACCCTTCAGTTGGGGCCAGGCCTGTCTCCCCGCCTGGCTCTGGACACTTCTCAAGCCAAGTCAGGCTCTGGACGGCTGGCCGGGCAGCCTGTGACCTCAGGCTGGGTCAGTACCATCCAAGAGCATCGCTTAAGAGGATGGGACATTTTGTTCTTTAGAATCCTGAGGGCCAACGAATGGGAAGCCTCCGCCTGTAAATTCAAACCCCACACTGCCAGGGACTTTGGCACTGAGTGAGTTTGGGCAAGTTCCTTCCCCAGGGTCGAATGCAGATTAACTGGCACCCACCACCGGGGCTGTGAGGTGGTGGCTTCAGGGCCATCCCACGTCCCACACGCTGGCAGGCACTGGCTGAGGGGGAATGCCTGAGCCTGCGGGCAAGAGTATGGACCAAGGAGCGAGACGGCCTGGGGCCACGCCAGGCTGCCCCACTACCCTCCTGCAGCCCAGACCGTAGCGCCTCCGTGCCTCCGGCTGCCTCATCTCTTCCCATGAGTGTCTGTCTTCCAACCAGAAGCCAACTATCTTTCTCTTCTACCGGTGGCTCTCAATTGAAGGAACTTTTGTTCCCTGAGGCATACTGGGTTTTTGTCTGGAGATATTTCTGGGTTTCACCACTGTGAGGGTGGGGTGTCACAGTCACCTGGAGACTGGGGGGAGGGAGGGCTACTGAACAGTCTACAATGTCCAGAACAGCACAGTCCATCCCCAACAAGATGTGTCTGGCCCCAAATGTGACTGTGCTGAGGTTGGGGAGCTACTGCCTACCCGGGGCTGCCCTAAATAAATCCTCCCTGAGTGCAGACGGGAGCTGGCTTTAGGAGACTGTCTGCGCTCAGGATCACATGCCTGAGAGACAGGGACAGCTGTCCTTTCTGGCCTCCTCCGGCATGAACCCAGTGCTCAGAGTTCTTTATTCAGGAGGGCAGGATGTTTTGGACCCTCTAAACCAAGATTGGGGGCAAGCGGCCACCCCTCTTTCGACCCTCAGGTGTGGTGTGTCCGACCGATCCATAGACACTTAATGGTGTGATGGACCAGAACGCCACACATGCCATCCCCTGGGCCTGCTAAGGAGACCCAACCAGGGGCACTGTCCCCCATTTTCCACATTAAAAAACCTGATTTTAGGGGGGGTAGTTCAGAATGCCACTTCTGAGTGTCCAAGTCAGAAATGCACAGTTCAAGTCCCAGCTCAACCAGCATCACCCTGGGACTGCCACCTTGTCTTTCTCCAAGCCTGGTTCGGAGAAGCCTCTCCGGCCACGGAGAGTTTGGGGTCGCGGCGTGGTAATGACTTGGGATCTAATCCAGTTCTTTCACTGACTATCTTGAGTCCTCTAGGACTCAGTTTCCTCATCTGAAAGGGGACGGTCCTGGCTTGCTGTTCATGGGGTTGGAGTAAGTATGACTGAAAACACACAGGAAAATTATGTAGCATTGTGGCACGCACATATAATACCTAAAAAAATGGAAACTTTTTGTTGTCATTTTTTATCTGAGACTCTGCCAATTCTGAGATCACTTATCCCAATGAAATGTAACACCAGGAAGAACCAAAAATAATGCCCTCAGCTGAGGGAGGAGGCAGGCACCTCCTGGCATCTCTGAATCCCAAGTCTGCCTTGCTCCAGAGACCAGGATTTAGGTTTTTGACTTCTGTTCCTCTCCCCCTGCTGGCAGCATGCGGGACTGCAACCTAAACTCCAGGTACCACCAGTGGGTACAATGTCTGGGCTGAGATGGGGGGTTTATCCCAATGCTTGGGCCAGCACAGTTTGGACAGGGTCACCTCTTGCCATTTGCCACCAGAGATGACACTTTAGGACATTTAATGTATGCCAGGGAAGGAAAGTGAACTAATTTGCCCATGAGGAAATAGTCATTTTGGCAGTTTGAGTGACTGGGCTCCAATGTTTCCTTAGTTCTCATCTAAGGAAGCTATGACTAACTTTTGATAAAGAAATTTTGCAGCTATGTGATCAAATTAAGGATTCTAAGGTGGATGTAGGTGGGCCGAGTGTATCCCAAGAGCCATTCTAAGTCCTTAGAAGAACCCTGAGATAGGAAGGAAGTAGTCATTGATATGGGGTTCCAGAGCAAAAACCTTATTACAGGATACATGGTACCTACAGTTAACAATACTGTATGGTAAACTTACAACTTTTGGAAGAGGGCAGGTCTCATCTTAGCAGAGGAAAATTTTAAAAAGGAAGAAGATTTAAAGAGACACAGAGTCAGTAGCAGATGGGGCAAGAGAGACAGGGCAGAGCTGCAGAGGGCAGGGGGTGCCAGAAGCCGAAACAGGAGAGGGAGTGGGAGTCCTCAAGTCCCAAGAAGAGAATGCATCCCTGTCTACTCCTTGATTTAGATTTCTGACCTACAGGAACTGTGAGAGAATAAATTTGTTGCATTTCAAACCACTGTTGATGATAAATGCAGCAATAGGAAACTAATACATATTTCTAGGGAAAAAAAAAAAACAAGCAAAAGGAAAAAAACAGGACGTCCAGTTAAATTTGACTTTCAAGTAGATAACAAATTTGTAGTCTATGTCCCAAATGTATGTAGCAGGCATGTCTGTGTTTTTAAAGGGTATGTTGTTTATCTGGGATTCGAAGTTAACTGAGTATGCTGCATTTTATCTGTCAGCTCTACAAGTCACTGAGTTATCCGCAAAAGTCAAAACGCCTGGCTCCTCATCCTCATCGCCCCCCCTACCCCAAATCTGGCAGAAACCAGGCAAAAACCCCCACATTCATGTGGCTGCGGAGGTGGGTGTCAGTTCCCACCGCCCCCCCCCCCCGGGACTCCTCCCCCTGCAGCAGGGAAAGGAAGAGATTGAGTAAGGCCATCTTTGGATCCTACTTTGGGCTCTGAGTCTTCCTGCACCAAGTATCCGCTCTAGAAACATTTAGTGTCTTTACTCTGCCTGAAGGAACGACTCAGATTTGCCTCAAAGTTGTGTCTGCACCAATTATGGAGCGGGGTGGTAGTAAAAGGTTTTTTAGGCTGCCACTTCAAAGGAAATTCACGAACCCCAAACAGGAAGATAGAAATTCCTGAAGTAGGATTCTTGAGCAAGAATCATGTTACAGATGAGGAAATTGAGGCCCAAGGTGAAATGGGGATTTGCTCAAGGTCACCCTGCTAACTGCAGAGGATGTGGCCTGGACTGGACTCTCCCTTTGGAAGCCAAAGTCAACGCGGCCCCACGACTGCTATGGGGTCTCGGATCCTCGAATGCTGATCTTGACTGGGATGGAAGCCCTTTACGTCATTGATTGCCAATTTCCCTTTTATTAAATAAAATTCCATAAATTTGGATTAAATGAGACGATGGTGCGTGGCAGTCGTTCTCGAAATCGTCAGCTTCATTCCCTCCTTCTCGGGTCCCTTCCTTCTCGCTCCAGACCCCACTCCTAACCAGGCCCCCGGAACTGGCAGGTGCCCCGCCCGCGGCTGCCCCCCCGCCCGTCCCTCTCCTAGTCCACAGCGCCGAACCGGGCCGCCAGGTGGGGCCGGGGCGGCCAGCGGGGACCTCGCACATGCGCACTCACAGGAGGCGCCCCGCCCGCGCCGCGCGTCACTTCCGGTGTGAAGGGCCCGGCCGGCCAGGCAGGGAGTGCGGGTCGGTTCTGTGCGCGCTGCCGGACGAGGCTCCCGCCGCCGATTACCCGCGCTCCGCCCTGTAGCCGGGCCGGTGAGTGCCCGCCAGGCATCCGAGTGACCTGCGCGCCCGGGAGAGGGCCCCCCGAGAGGGAGGGATAACCGGAAATGGGGCCACCTAGGGACGGGGTGACAACCGGAAATGGGGGGCTCACAAGGTTGTCGACGGGTCTCAGGCTCCTAGAGGTGACTTTCTGATCTCTCCCGGGTGGGGCGGAGTGGGAGGAAGGTGATGTGCACAGAAGGATGGACTCCAGGTGAGGGAGATTCCCGGCTTCGTCCTAACGAATGGTGTTTGCGCCCACCCATCAGTTCATTCGTCAGACTGAGCCCTCTCTGTGCTTGACACTGCGGGGGCCCTGGAGAGTAACAGGAGTTCCAGGTGGAGCCGCTGTGGGCTGGACACAGGCTTCTCCGCCTCACTAGGTTGGTACCCTTGGACACGTCACCTGACCACCTATGGCCCACTTATACTTACTGAGCACCGCCATGTGCCAGGCACTGGGATGGCAGTGAAGGTGACAGAAAGGTGTCCCCTTTGTAAAATGGGAACAGCAGTAGTGGTCTCACCAAATAGTGTGAAAATTAAGAAACAGATGGAAAATGCCTATCACTGTGCTTGATGCATGGTAGAGCTGAGTGTTCTCTTTAAATCATTCTGTGGCTTAAACCGCATAAAGCAAAGAATTATATTGTTTTCTGACATCTACCGGGTGCCCATGAGCACAGCCCCCAACACTTGTTGGGTGGTCTGCAATGATTTGATAAATGAATGGGTGGTGAAACCAAAGAGTTTCGTGTAAACACGCAAGACATTGGACTGCAATTTCTGAAAGGGAGATGGGAACCCAGTGCCATGGGAAACTGGAGGAAATCACCTTGGGGGAAGTCAGGGAAGGCTTCACAGAGGAGGCGATCTTGCAGTTGGGTCTCAGAGATGATGAGTTGTTTGGCTGGGAACAAACAAGGCGAGGAAATGCCAGAGAGCATGAGGAGTCCCAACACTGGTGGGGCATTAATTTGCGTAAGCTGGCACTTAATGTGCACTGAGAGGGGGAGAGGTGTGTCTTGGAGGTGAGCGCTGGATGGGAATTACAGGTTGGTTAGTGAGTCCCACGGAAACGGGAGCCAGAGTGCATTCTGTGAACACCTGGTCATCATTCCATTCCTCCGCAGCATACCTCACCGCACAGGTTAAACTCATGGACCAAATATTTATGGGGTGGAGGCTGTGTTTCTGATCCTGTTAGGTGCTGGGTTTCAGTGATGAGCAAGACAGATGTAGATGTCACCTACAAGCTACTGAGATAATTTTGAGGAGCAGCAGCACTGTCGGGGATATCTGACCTGGCCTGGAGGCAGAGAAAGCTTCCTGCCTTGCACACCAGCATCTCACCTGGATTGTCAGTAACCTCTGCATCATCTGTGTGAATCTGTCCTCATCCCCTTATAGTTCATGCTCAAAACAGCCACCTGATGCTTTTAAATACAGATCAGATTGTGTCTTCTCAAAGTCCTCTGCTTTCCTCCAAAGTCAGTAAAAGTCAAAGTTCTTACTAGCCTACAAGAAACCCAGCATGGGGGCCCCAGCCTCCCTCTCAGATCATGTTAGTATGCTCAGCCTTGCTCACCTGACTCTAGCTACTCTGGCCTCCTCAGACGTTCCTGCTTCAGGTTTTGCACTATATTCTTATGCCAGATAGCTGCAGGATTTGCTCCTTCTCTCCTTCATCTTTGTCTCTGGATGAGAGCCTTCCCTGCCTGCCCTATTTAAAATTGTGGCTCACCTCCAAGTATGTCCAGCCCCCTTCCCTGCTTAATTGCCATAGCACCTCCTTCCTGCCCGATTATATACTTTGCTCTGCTAGTAGTCTGTCTCCCCAGCTAGAATTTAAGCTCAGTGAAGGTGGAATGTCTTAATTGTTCCCCGCTGAACCCCCAGTGCCCTGGAAGAGGACCTGCTACATAGACGTGCTCAGTATTTGTTGAATGAAGTTTGTGTCTAATTCATACTTAAGGGTGATTAGTTACTGGTCAGGGGAAGAACATGCTAGTAGGAAGAAACAGGAGGTGCACAAGATGAGAGAACATACCTTTGGGAGGAAGTGAGAGAAGGAGGGCTGTGCCAGAGGTAGCAGGAAGGAAGGGAGTGGTGTGATATGTAGAGGGTGTGGCATGGTCTCTCTGGCTTCACGCAATGGGGCAAGTCTGGCTATATGCAGAGACCCCTGAGATAGGCCCTGACTGTCTTGTTGAGCTCAGACTGATGGGGTTGGGGGAGGGAGGGGAGGGACAGCCTGTGTACAAGAGCCCCCTGGACAGCCCTAGCCCTGCCTCACTCCTGAGTGTCTAAAGCAGCTAACTGCTTTGTTTATGCTCTTCATCCAGTAAATGTGTCAGTCCAGCTTTTCCAAGAAATAGGCACTGCCTTGGGGTTCAGCATGCAAATACTGGAGGTAGCACCTGTGAAGCATAAGCAGGAGGGTGGCTGGAGAAGTCAGCTTTAGAGATGACATGAGGCCTGGACGTGGTGGTGCAGGCGGTCTAGGCGGGAGTCTCGGACTGCAGTGCAGATCCAAGAAAGGTTTGACCAGACCCCTTAGGAGCCTCCTGGCCAAATGCCTGTTCGAGGAGGCCTGGGCCTCTCTCCCAGGGACTGGGCACAGCCTGTGGGAAGTGTGGCACCTGCTGGATGATGGAGCAGAGGGACAGCAGCTGTGTGACAGGAGAGCAGCCGTCGATTATTCCCCTGCACCTCCCACTCTGATTCTCAGCTGCCACAACTACATGCATACCTGGTAAATTCAAGCAATAGTGAAATGTGTCTCTCCCACTTTACATGTCCAGTTGTCCAGTTCTGCTCTCATGTCCTGGGGTTGAAATGAGCCGCACGGGGCTTCATTGTGTTCCCTCGGGGTCTGTTTTGCCAGGCATCCTGGTAGCTAATGTCCGAAGAAAGCGACTCTGTGCGAACCAGCCCTTCCGCGGCCTCCCTTTCCGAAAATGAGCTGCCGCCCCGGCCCGAGCCTCCGGGCTACGTGTGCTCGCTCACGGAAGACCTGGTCACCAAAGCCAGGGAAGAGCTGCAGGAGAAGCCGGAATGGCGGCTGCGTGACGTCCAGGCCCTCCGGGACATGGTGCGGAAGGAGTACCCGACCCTGAGCACCTCTCTCGACGACGCCTTCCTCCTGCGCTTCCTGCGCGCGCGCAAGTTTGATTACGACCGGGCCTTGCAGCTCCTGCTCAACTACCACGGCTGCAGGAGGAGCTGGCCCGAAGTCTTCAATAACCTGCGGCCGTCGGCCTTGAAGGATGTCCTGGAGTCAGGGTTCCTCACCGTGCTGCCCCACACCGACCCCAAGGGCTGCCACATCCTCTGCATCCGCCCAGGTAGAGCCCTGGGCTGCACCTGTGCTCTTTGGGCTGTGTCTGTTCTCTAATTGCCTGTGGCCCCGCCCATCAGCGGAGGCTCTTTTGAGTGCTGACAAAATCTCCTCAGCCTGACCTAAGGAGATGGGAGGATGTGCTCTAAGGAGGGGCATCTCCCAGCACCTGAGAGCTGAGGCAGCAACCCAGGAAGCAAGAACCACAATCCAGTTCCTTCCTCAGCAGGAGCTAAGCTGTTCTCTGGCCTCTGCTTCTGGCTGCTGGGCTGGTCGCCTCTCTGAGCGGCGAGTTTCTGCTGCCCTTTGCTTATCTTCGTGCCTTTTCTCTGGAGACAGACCTTTGCTGCCTGTATTCAAGATCTGGCACTTCTCCACTGTATACCTGTCCCCCCCCTCACCCCCCAGTTCCTTCAAGGCCACTTCTGAACTCCAGGGTCAGAGATCTGGTGGGGTAAGAAATCTGCCCCCGTCATGGGGTACAAGTGTGGCTGGCAGTCACGGCCCCCTACCTGCACTCTGTCCTGTGTTTGTGAGGTGGTGAGGTAGATGGGGGGCGGGGGGGGGGGG